GCGGCGGGGGGTGCGGGCGGGCAGGGACCCCGGGCCGTGTCCCCGGCGGCACCATGTGAGGGGTGCCGGGATGCCCCCCCCATGGAGCACCGGCCATGGCTAACGGGTACCGCACGCTCTCCCAGCACCTCAATGACCTCAAGAAGGAGAATTTCAGCCTCAAGCTGCGCATCTACTTTCTGGAGGAGCGTGTCCAGCAGAAGGGCGAGGGCAGCCGGGATGATGTCTACCGGCGGGTGAGCGTCCGTGAGGGACAGGTGCCCAATGGGGGTTTCCCTCCTGATGCCCCCCCCTTTTCTGGGAGGAGATGGGGCCGGGGGAGCGCAGCTGGTGGGGATGCCGGGGAGGGCATTGGGCACAGCACTGGGGCTGGGGGAGCCGCTGTGCGGGAGTTTGCCTCTCGCTGTCTTTGACCGGAGCGGGGAGACATTCGGGGAAGGCGTCCCCAGCCCGGTGGGGTGCCCAGGGTAGGTGGTGGTGCCAGTTTGGGTGCAGACAGATGGAGCGGGTACACCCCGTCCCAGCACCAGTGGGCTAAAATACCACCCGTGCCGCTTAGTGCCAGGAGCACCCAAAGCCCTGCCGTGAGGTGGGGGACCCCCATGCCACCTCTGATGCATTCCTGTGGGCAGCGGCACTGGGGGGGCTGGGCAAGCATGGGGGCATCCTACCCGCCTGCATCCCGCCCTGCAGAACATTGAGCTGAAGGTGGAGGTGGAGAGCCTGAAGCGGGAGCTGCAGGAGAAGCAACAAGCCCTGGACAACACATGGTGAGTGGGGCCGGCCAAGCCCCTCGCCCTGGGGCAGACGTGGCACCCATGCGCCGTCTGCGGTGCTTGCGTGGGGACGGGGGTTGTCTGTCTGCACCCTGCCCACAGCGGGCAGCGGAGGGTTTTGCAGTGGGGCTGGAGGGGTTTGCAATGGGGCTGGGCACCCGCAGAGCTCCTCTTACGGCCCCGGCGCCAGCCAAAAATAAAGGGCAGCACCTGTTCGGTGGGGGAGGGCAGCGCTGTGCCCGGGGGCCGTGGCGCGGGTGTCCCGCAGTGGGGCACCGCCGGGCACGGGGCTGGGGGCACGGCAGCCGGGGAGCCCCTGGTTTCGGGAGCGTGCAGGGGCTGCTTTGGTGGTTCAGAGCCTGAGCATGACCGGGTGCTTCCGGAGGAGCTGTGTCCTCAGGGCAGCGGCACAGGGAGGTTACAGTACACCTTGCCTGGGGGTCCTGCAGAAACAGCACCCACGGCATGGGGGGAGCTGGGCTGGGGGCACCTGGGGTGGCATGGCTCGCCCAGCCCAGCTGGTTTGGGGTGGGGGCTTTTGCAAAGGGAGGCCATGCTGTGCTATGCCATGCCATGCCATGCTGCACCCTGCCAAGCCCTGCCATGCTGTGCCATGCCATGCTGTGCTGTACTGTGCCATGGTATGCCATGTCATGTGCCGTGCCATGCCATAGTGTGCTGTGCCATACCGTGCAGTGCCATGCCATGTCATGTTGTGAGATACCATGCTATGCCATACCATGCTGTCCCACATTGTGCTGTGCCATACTGTGCTGTGCTATGCCATGCTGTGCCACGCTATGCCGTGCCATGCCACGCCGTGCCATGCCGTGCTGTGCCTGGCAGGGTGGCTGCGGAGAACCAGACGACCCGCAGCCAGGCAGCGCTCCGGCAGCAGTATGAGGAACGGCAGCGGGAGTCGGAGCATGTCTATGAGCTCCTGGAGAACAAGATCCAGCTCCTGCAGGAGGTGAGCCTGGGGGTGGTGGGGGCTGGGGGGGGCTGGGGCCCAGTCCCTGGGGGCTCACCCCACTGCTGTGCAGGAGGCCAGGCTGGCACGGAGTGAGGCCGAGCAGGCCACGGCTCTGGCCAGAGCTGAGGCGGAGCGGTGCCGGGAGCTGGCAGGGAAGCTGAAGGAAGCTGCGAGGATGAAGGAAGAGGACAGGAGTGATGACAACTGCAGTGCTGTGACCCAGAGGTGGGTGCCCAGGACCTGTTCCCTCTGTGCTGCCAGCCTGTGCCCTGTGCTGGCCCTTGGGGACCACCAAGGGGCTGCTGCTGTGCGGGGCCAGGGGGGCTGTGGGCATCCAGTGGGGTGGAGGGGTCATTCCAAGGGGAGGGAGCCAGGCTGTGGGGAAGAGGACCATGCTGAGCGTCCCCCACCCTTCCCTCCCTCGCAGGAGGATTGAAGAGCTGACCCAAGAGCTGGCTGCCAGCAAACGGCTTGTGGAGACACTGTCGGCCGAGAAGCGCAACCTGCAGCAGCGCCTGGAGGAGCCCCCAGCCGTGGGGGGGCAGGTGGGTGTGCAGGCGCAGGGCAACCCCAGCCCGGCACCCAGGGGGGGAGCGCACCCGCCCAGGGCTCGGCCAGCACTTGTCATCCCTGTCCCCTTTTGGGGCTGTGGCCAGGGCTGCGCCACGTCCAGCCCAGCAGTGTCAGGCATTCGCACGTCTGTGCCGTGGTGTTGGGGGGGGCAGGAGGGCCGGGAGGACCCAGTGTGTGGTGTCGGGGGAGAGGCCACCAACCTGTGCAGTCCTTCTGCGGGTGTCGGCGCTGCCTGCGCCCGTCTGCTGTTTAAATCCCGGGTCTTAAAATACCCCTGGCAGCCCGGCACGGTGCCAGGAAGGATTTCAGGGCTGCGAGGGATCAGAGCAGCATGTTCCTGGCAGCCACACGGCTCTGGCCATGCTGTGTCTTGGTGGCACAGTGCTGTCCCCAGCAGCCATGGGCCATCAGTGTGTGAGCTGCCCATGTGGTGGTCCCGCCGGGGGACCCCGGTGTGTGCCCACTGGGTGCCACGGGGTGCTGTGCAGGTACTGGTGCATGGGTGCTGGTGGCCTTGTGCTGTGGGGACATGCTCCCCCCGGGCACTGCCTGCTGGGGCTGGGCACTGGGGCTGGGACACGTCGCTGGCATTGGGACTGGGATGTGGCGCTGGCACTGGACTAGGCACTGGCACTGGGGACAAGCACTAGTGGGGGGCGCTGACACTGGGGCTGGGCCCTGGCATTGGGGCTGGGCCCCCGGCACTGGCCTTGAACTGTCGCTGTCACGATCGCTGTGGCTGTGGCCGGCACTGCGCTGTGCCCACCCCACGTGTGCCTGGGGCGGGCCGCGGGCAGCCACCGCGCATGCGCAACTTGCGGGCGTGGCGACTACAAGTCCCGGCAGGCGCCGCAGCTGCCGCGCACGCGCGAGGCTGTCGTCCGCCGCCATCTTGAAATCTGAGCCACAAGCCGGGCGCCGCCGTGGCAGGAGCATCCTCGGC